CGTCCGACACAAGAACCCCCCCCCCCCCCCCCCCAAAACAGTGCTGTACTTTAAACATGGCACACTCCTGAGCAAGGTGGATTTAAAACATAAATAAAAATTTTAAAAATCAATTATTTTTTTTTAAATACAAAAAAACCCCAGATTTTTTATTTAAATCAGATTTTTTTAATTTAATTGTATTTTAATTTTTTTAAACATTTAAAAAAAATAATAAACCTATATAAAAATAGTTTTAATTTAAGATATGTTAAAGCTCAAAGAAAGCATCATAGAATAGGGATTATAACTTCTAATTATATACTATTTGAGACGATATATTCATGTAAACTTTTCTGAAAAGTTTTATAAATAGGTCACAACAGGCCATGGACTGTATTAGGGGCCCAATCTTACGGGGTTCCCAGAGGCTCCTCTATAGATTAGTAAAGATTAAAGAAAACCACTTGACCCAATGGGACTCAGTCCTCAAACTAAAAGATCCTATTAAACATCTCTGTGATGCTTAGTTTCAGTTTTCAAACTGTGAATTTGTGTCTTCAAAGATAATGTCCTTGTTAATAGCAATATATGGCGACAACAGATAACAGACCTGAGTGATTACTGATTACCTACCCATCAGCCCTACAAGTTTGTCTACAGTCAAGCCGTTACTTCTCTCTAAAAGTGCAAAGTTTCAAGAAGTTAAATGAATAAAGGATATCAAACAACAAGTATGCACATTTTGTACAAAACAACAATTAAAATTTAGGCTTCCTTTGACCAGTGATTTAAATCGATTTGATTTAAACCAAATCCACACTGCTCCTGTGCCAAGCCCAGCACATGCCCAAAAGAGGTATTGCATTAGTTGGACCCAGCTTTCCCCATGCCCATATAGATCAGGTACTTTAGTGGGCCTTTAGTAGCACTAAATCTATATAGACTTTGAGGAGCCAGGTCAAAGTAACACACTGCTGCTTCCCATAAAGCACAGTTTTTTCCATGCCTGTCAATGCCCAGTGATAACATCTAGGGTAAGCATGTGCTGCAACCAAAGGGGTGGCTGTAGAACAGATAGGCAAACTTGTGCTTTCTTTAATTTACATGTCATGGGTGAGGGGAAAGGGACAGTAGGGCTGGGAGGCAGGGACACAAGCAGGGTATCCTGCCATGTAACCCCTGCCCTCATTTTGTTTTTCTGGCATGCCGGCACTCCGGCACCTTCCAAGGTAGGCATTGTGGTTTTTTCCGGCACTCCAGCCAAAAAACGTTGCCTACCCCTGGGTTAGCTATTAGTCTGAAGTCAGGAAGGGCAGGATGGCACCTTGGAGACTTCACTAATTCAGAAAGGAATATGCTTTTGTAAGCAACAGCCTATTTCATAGCATCTGATGAAGTAGGTTAGAGCGGATCTCCAAGGGCACTTTCACACATGCTTCGATGCACATCTTGTCGAACAAGCTTTAGTTAAAAGTGCCCCTGCCATCATGTTGAAACATGGGATGATGAATACACGCGATGCTGCATGCGTTTTAGTTACAGTGGGTCCTGAGAGCCACTCTAATTAAAACACCCCGCCGACCCAGAGTATGTGTACAGATGCCCTCATAAGGTGCCACTCTGCTCTGCCTTCTACTAAAGATAGTAGTGATGGCTTCTGACCAGGTTAGCCAGAGGGGAAGCCTATCTGTACCATAACTGCAGTTTCTCTTACAATGTAGACACACCCTCAAAGAAAAAACAAACATTTTATCAAGTCCAAAGCCACTCCAGATTCCAAACCAGAGCTTGTGAACAACCCAACAAGAAGAGAGCGCAACAGAAAATTGACCTGATTTATGCTGAGCCCAATTCACAGTGGGAGAGAGCTCTGGAGTCCAGTAAATACTCGCCGACTCCAGGCAGGCTCAGCAGGATTCAGTTCTGCTTCTCATTTGAGAAACTCAGGGCTAAGGTTTCAGGACACCTCATGGATTAAACTGACATAACTACTGCTAACGTGAGTGTCACAACCCAGTGATTTTGGTGCCTCGGCACGATGGAATTTCCTTGCCACATGAGAGCCTCTTGCACAGTAAAGGTTTTCTGTTGCAGCAGAAGAACCTCGGTGCAAGAGAGTTCCCGCCAATTTGCAGGGTGCATTTCTTCTTTGCAGCACAGAAATGCACGGTGCAAAGAGTTCCCGCTATTCAAATGCAAATTTGTGTCCCGCTATTGGCCAGTTCTAAATTATTCCTACGTGGTGGCTGGTAATTGGCATGCTGGCCATTTAAAAAATTCGCACGACTTCCGCCCAAGTCGAAGAACTTTGAGCACGCTGCAGAGTGCCTCTAAAGAGATCTGACTTGCGGCTAGCTGATCGATAGACTGATCACCTATCGATCCTTCTTCCGTCGCCAAACACAATCCCAGACGTACCCTTTTTCCGCCGGCTTAATTTGCAGACGGATTAACTGGCTTGGGCCTCGCCAGCTGGAACAACTCACATAGTTGTTCAGACGACCGGACCATCTGCGTCGCAACTACAGGCGATGTAAGTAAACGTTTTTGCAACCATTAAACCTTGTCTGCCTCTCCATTCACCAGCCCGCCCTGACGAACGAGCAATTTCTAAATCACCTCGAGTCGGCTCTGGCCGTCTGAGACAGTGAGCAGTGTGGCTAAACTCTTCAGTTGCTCTTGAAAATCAGCCTCAGTGATCTGCCATCGCAGTCCTGCACCACAACAGCATGTTGCAGTTCCTGACTCATTTAAACATAAAACAGTCCCTTTCATCTCCTAAGGATGGACTCTGCAGGCGAAGGGTGCGACAGCAAAGCCTCCCACTATCAACGTTGGACGTTCCAGATCCACACACTGTAGGTAAAATGGGAGTTTGTGTCACGTGCAACAGAAAACCCACAGCTCAACGTGCCATCAGATATGCACGTCACACAGGGATGTAACACCTCCCTGTTCTACCAAGTGGGGCAAGAGCTATGAGTAGAAAACTTCTGCAGCAGCCTGTAATCACACACTAAGAAAGTGCTGGTGACAAACCACAGGGGAAAAGAAAGTCTCTGCAAAAAAAAACAACAACCAGTGCCTAAGAAATCCCTCTTCAGCTCCAACTGGGTGGTCTATTAAGCTAACAGACAGGCTGCATAACTTGCACACGGACAGATGTACTCCCTGTGCTCGCAGGCATTAGACCAAACAGTATAACAAGACAAGACCCTAACATAATTCGTGGCAATAGAGGCAAACGATGATGAAAATCATGTGCTCCATCACCTGCTAACTGAAGACTTGTACAGATGGAGGCTGAAGAGGCTTAGAAGTCATAAAACATTTCTATGTGAAGCCCACCAGCCACTGGAAGAGACTGGGCATGCTGAACCTAACCCCTGGACAGCAAGGGAGCAGGCTGACCACTGGAAATCAGGCCTATTCTTACAGTGGTTTGTCTCAGCACCAAACCAGCCCCGCGCTGGGCACAACCTTGGCAGGGAAGAACAGACCGAGCTCTGGATACGGACTCTTCACAAGAGGGACATCCTGCGCAGCTCGCTGTGCCAGTGTGGTGCCGTCTGGGCACTGCCCCCGCGCACTAAGCGCTAGCCCTGGGCACCGCTCGCAGGTCTGCGAGGAGCTTTGTGTCACGGTGCCCGGCTCTGACTGGCACCCGCGGCCCTTCACCGAAGCAGCTCCGGTGGCCGAGAGCTTGGCTGGGGCGGCTCAGGCAGGGGCCCTCCTGCCAGACGCCCGCGGGCCGGGGCTGTCCCGGCTCCCGGCTCCCGGGCCGCCCCGCACTTACCATCTGGGCGAGCTTGAGCCCCGCG